TTCTCTATATATCTATATTTTATATATAAATATTTATCTATATAAATTATAATTATATAAATTGTTTAATTATTAATTAAATAATCAGCCTGGGCAGGAACCAAGAGAACCAAAGGAGGGAAGAGCAGGAAAGAAAGCATCTGCCTGCAGCCACTGGGGAGTCCCACCATCCCCAGGCATGCCCTACAGTCCCTGGTCTAAGTCCAAATTCTCCCTCAGCCTCCCTAGTGATTAGATCACTCTAAGGGTCAAGTTTACCTGTCCATTTGGGTAGCTTGTAGTTCCCAGTTATTCCATGAAACACTAGTCTAGGTGTTGCTATGAAAGTATTTTGTAGCTTTGTTAACATCTACACTCTGTGGACTTTAAGTAAAGGATTACTAATTTTTGATAATGTGGATGGGCCGCATCTAATAGATTAAATATAAATATATATAAATAAAAAATATATTTCTCAGGGCTGGGACAAAAGTAGGGCAAATTAGGTTCTTATGCTCCCTTGCCATTAGGAATTCCAATCAATTGAATCTGACTATTTTGTAGCCAATCCTTTAAACTAATTTAATGTGAGTTAAGGAATGTTCTAGAAAAAAAATGGCAGGTACAATGTTACAAAGGATACTGGGAAAAGGCAGCCATTTTGGAGAGGAGGATGACCTGAATATTCTAGGGAATCACTTGAGTCAGGTAGTTCTGTAGTGGATTCTGTTAGCCAGGGTCACCATGGTGTTACAGTGTTGCAGAGGTTAGTGGGGAAAGGCAACAAGGTTGGAGAGTAAGGAGGCCTGGCTGTTCTAGGGAATGAGTTATGATAAAGGCCCAAATGATTCCTCTGCTAATGAATAAAGAGAAATAGAGCTCTCAGATCAGAGACCTCCTGGGAAAGAAAATAAACCAGAGATACTGAATTGGCTTCTTGTGTCCAAAAGTGGAATTCAAATCAAATTGCTCCAGCAGTTCAGGCTCCAGCAAGCCACCCATGCCCATGAGACTGAGGGAGAATAGGGTGTTTGAGGGGCAGTGGAGAGACATAATCTCTGGATTAATTATAGTTACCTATTAGGACCACAGGAGTACTTTAAAAAGAAACAGGCATTATACTGAATTTAGAAATTAGACATTTAGGGGGCGCCTGGGTGGCTCAGTCGTTGGGTGTCTGCCTTCGGCTCAGGTCATGATCCCGGAGTCCTGGGATCGAGTCCCGCATCGGACTTCCTGCTTGGCGGGGAGCCTGCTTCTCCCTCTCCCACTCCCCCTGCTTGTGTTCCTGCTCTCGCTGTCTCTCTCTCTGTCAAATAAATAAATAACATATTTTTTTAAAAAAGAAATTAGACATTTAGAATTAAGAAATTTATCAATTCTATTTATCATTTACTTTTGAGCCAAAAAAAAAAAAAAAAGAATGGAACCGTAACCACCTCTGAGAGAACCACAACATGAAAGGACAAAAAAATTTCATAATGGTGTTCCGCTGATTTGGGTGTGGGGGAACTAGTGTGCCTTGAAAAGTACATGAAAATAAAAATAACACTTTTTGAAATAGTAGAGGGAAGCTAGGACTTGTTGAAATTCATAGATTTTCTTAATCTCCATCAAATTGCTATAAAAGTCTTATGTTTTACAATGCATATAATTCTAAATAAAGGGTTTCTAAAATTAAAAACAAAAAAGCAACAAGACAACTGGTTTTGAACAGTTAGACCTGTCTTATGATGGAAACCACAATAGGCTATCATCGACTTGCAGATGTTGTCACATTAATTCTTGTTATATTTATGTGTTAAAAACAAACTATGTTATTTCAAACAAACAAACCCCAGCCACCAGTTACTCATCCTTATTTGCCTTCAGATCTCTCAAAAAACCTTTTGTCTTTCTGATCCCAATCTGTAGGAAAATCAAGGGGATGGTGTAGAAATTGTTCTAAGAGAAACTCTCAATCAAATTCTCCTTTATAGTCCTGGGGTTTTCTTGACACATACTGTCATTTTCATCCTATTTTTGAGGTATTGTAAGAAGAAGATGAGGAGGAAAATAAAATAGCATGACTGTCAAGTACACACAGAAAAAGTCACACCAATATCTGTGTGCACTTTTGAGAAAGAGAAATTTTGCATTATTACAACAAATGGAGCATGATGGCAAAGTTCCTATGAAAATCCTTTATATAGAAATCATTCAACCTTGCAGTTTACTATTGCTCTTAAGAACATAGGAGGGCTGCAGATATTTCTCAGGTGACAGGTGAGCCTAGGTTGTCTGTTCCTTGTTAAGAATGAGGCAAATAGCGCCAACCAAGATTTCTGTCTTGGTGAGGTCTGTGAGACAGCAGGTTCTACTTCAGCAAGGTGGGCTGTGCAGGAGGCACCTGTAAATGCCAGAGTGGAGAGGACTCTGCTCTGTGGCACAACCACCCCTGCTTCTCCATTCATTTAGCTCAAGTTTGAACTCGGGGGAAAGTGCCTGGCTGCCAGCCAGGTGCAGTAAGAGGGCTGGATGACTCTTCCATGTACAGACCTTAAGCCAAGGCAGCTGTCCCCCACCCCCACCCACCAGGTCTTCAAGACCACCCCAGTGTCCCTGCAGCCTCCAGGTCTGGGTCCTCTCTGGCCACTGGCAGGAGGAGGACTCCCTCCTCTACTGCTCCCCATCTGCTTCTGAGCCACAAGGCCTGCTTCCCTTGGCTTTGTTTTCAGCACTCTCTGAATGCCACAGTCATCATTTGTGGCCTTTCCTCTCCTGTTATCTTCTTTCTTACAGGTTTTATACCATTTTACTGTCTTCACTTTCATTTTAATGGAGTCTGAAGTTCCCCTTCAGTGGTGTACAATGTGAGGCATCCTGGTATCATGGTTAAAAGCACAACCACTGGAGCTGGAGCAAAATATCCTGGCTTTAAATGACTGCTCTGCTACTTACTATCTGTGTGACTTGGACAAGTAATGTGACCTCTCTGTGTCTCAGTTTTCCAATCTTTCAAAATGGGATGATAGTAATGCCTGTTTTGAAGGGCCATGAAGAGGATTTAATGACTTGATGTTGGTAAGGGCTTACAGGGTGGCATGTGGCATGGTTAAATCAAATAGCTTGTGAAATTTTTCATCTTGCACTGGAAACCTAGAGCTGAGATTTGAATCCAGGTGGGTCTGGCATGTTCTGTTCCTCTATCACACATTGGCTCTTCAAGGCATGAGATACCCTAGCCCCAGAGCTGTGGGCCAGAGACATCCACTCCAGGTAGTCATTAGCAGATGGATAAAAATGAAAGCGCTGGGATGGCTGTGCTCACCCAGAGAAGGAGGTTATGGTCTCTCAGTGGCCAGGGTTCTATCCTGACCTCCAACACTTACTGTGTGTCCTTGGGAAGTACAGTCATTTGTCAGGCCTCAGTTTCCTTGGCTCTAAAATTGAGGTTTTCCATTCTCCTCTCTGACTCAGCTGATGTCTGCATGTGACAGTGCTGGCAGAGGACAGGGATCCCTGTCACTGCTCTTCTTTCCCCATAGCTTGGATGGCTAGAAGCTACTGAGGAGCATGGTATGGGCGGAGTTGTGGCAATTGGCCAACTTGTGGGATTCCCAAGCGCTTCTAGTGGTCTGAAGCTGCCAACCCCTGATTCCAGAGGATCAGGTACCACGTGACTCCTGATAGGATGCACCATTGGTCTTAGGCAGTGGGGGGCAGCTGCTCAGTTGAGACTGAGTAGGCTACTTTTACTGACCATTCCTTTCTTTAGGGGCCCCAGGTGCCAATGCCCAGAATGTTGAGAGAACCAGGCCATGATGATGCCCACCCCCAGGAGTATCCTGGTGGCTTCCAAAACATGAGATTCCACTATGAGCGGTAAGAAAGATCCCAGGGATCCTGCAGGAGGAAAGCTGGAGCTCTTTGGGCAGGGACCAGGGTGGACCAGATGGGCTAGCAAACAGACTGACCAGGAAGGTGTGAGCAGCTGGCTATTCTTGGAATGTTGGGGCTTTGTTGTCTCCTCATCATAGCCCCTGAACCTCCTGGTCTTTTGCCCATTTGGGGCCTCTGAGCACACTGAGGCTGGGCTGGGGTGGCTCCCAGCCCTCAGGTCCCAGGATCTGCTTACCCGGGAAGTGAAGGACTCAGGATGACAGTCATTGTTTAGAAAAACGCCTGACTTTACCTGCTTGCCCTCATAGCCTTCCTATGCTCCCTGCCATGCCTGGCCTGGGACCACCAGCAGCTCTCAACCCTCTGTCTTTTCTTATTTCCCAGCAACCCAGACGCAGATAGGGTGGCAGAGATTGGCCTGGAAGAGCTAAATGGACTGGAGATGGAAGTCATGAGAAGACAGGTAAGCATCTTTTGTGCTATGGACCCACTGGGAGGGTGGAAGCAGAATCATGGTGTCTTGGGGCAGGTGGGCCTCAGCAGCAATGAGACCACCCCCCTTGAAGTCATCTTAGCCTCTAGCTGTGGAGGTGAGGTTAGGCTCCCCTTCCTTTCCTCCCAGTCCTCAGGGCTCTAGTGTCCCATCTTGATGGCAGCCTCAGCCCTGCCTCTCTCCCTGAGATGTGTGGGAAGGGAATAGGGGAAGTCAAAAGGAGGACGAAGAGGCAACAGAAGAGGATAGAAATCTGTGCAGAGAGAATGGTGTTAAGAGGTCTGAGGGAGGGGTTGTCTTCTCAAGGAGAGGACACAGCAGGCCCAGAGGGACATCTGCCCTGGTGGCTGTCTCCGAACCCCGAGTGTCACCCATCCTGGAGCCTTTACTCTGGTGCTGCAGCTGCCCCCATGCCAGCCTGCTCCAGGACTGAAATGCCCTTCCCTGCCTCCCCCCGCACAGCTGGGACAGGCTGGACTCTTCCAGACAACTGGGTGAACACCAGTGAGGGGGCAAGGCCGCTGGGCCTGCGAACACAAGCAGCCCAGCGCTCGGTCCCATGGGCCCACGCCAGCCCCTGGTTTCAATTGCTCTGCCTGTTTCTCATCCAGAGGCACTTTGGCCTCCCAAAGGGCAGCAAAGTCCCTTCCTGTACTAAGTTCATACTGTCCCCAGTGGTGAGCCATTGGCTTCCCCAGGAGAATCTCACTCACCAGCCCCTTTGGTCTCTGCAGCTGCACGTGATCACCAGCCGGCTGCGAGCCCTGGAGGACCAGGGTGCCACCTGGCGCCACAGGGATGCTCTGTTCTTCACCATGCTGGTGTCGGCCTGCGTCGCCAACCTGTGGCTGTGGATGCGCCAGTGATGCCTCATGCCGCCTGAGCCCACTTCTCCTTCCTCTTCTTCCCTTTTCTCCCTGGGCCGCCCTTGTCCATCTTCCTTCCATCACCCCGCAGTCCTTAGCAGCGTCAGAGCCATTTTCTAACTCTGATTACACAGCTTGCCTGCGGGAGGCCCTAGCAGCTGGGAGGTAAAAGAAGTGTGGCATTCCAAAAGTCTGAATGGGCTGAAATGTAGCCACTTTGGAGGGTGAGGAAGGTGGCATCTCGTCCCCAGAGTAACACCAGTGGCAGGTGTTTCCTGCTTGCCCATCAGGGCTCCATAGTGACCATCTCAGAGCTGAAACTTGCCTCTGTGCCCTCAGTGTCCCTTCTGTTCCATCCTCTGTGGCAGGGGCTTGGCTCTGCATTCCCAGTTTTCTTCCACTTTGTGTACAGGGCTCTACACAGAAAATGCACTCAATAAAATTTCACTGATAGCAGCAAACACTGGTGGTTGAGCTTCTTACATCCAGGATTCATGTAGGGACAGCCCCTCTGGACAAAGTCACTGTTGCAGGGACCAGGCTGATGCCCCAACCCAAGGGTCCTGGTTCTCTCCCTTCCCTCCTCTTCAAAGTCCCCCGCCCAGGCAGGGAGCCTTTTTAGGGGCAGGGCTTGGCAAAGTCCTTCCTGTTGGGCTCATGACAGTGAGTGCTTGTGGGTAAGCTGTTCTTCAACAGCTTCTCTGGGCCAGGCATTGCAGGGACTCAATCAGAGGAAACCTGGAATGCACCAGAAACCTTTCCATTTGCCCAGGAGGAAATTGAGCCCTGGAGAGGGAGAACATCATCCAGGGTCATCCAGGTCTAGAATGGGTTTTCTTGTGTTCCAGCCTCGAGCTCTGCCTGTCTCATATAGACTGACTGAGGGCAAGACCCCTACTCAGCTGTGGAGGCTGGATGGGAGGTCACATGGAGGGGCTTTGAATCCCTCTCCCCCATGTCCACAGCCCCATGAAGCTAACCTCACACAGGGCAGATTGCTGGTAGGACAGTGGGACTTGGGTTGAGCAAATGGGAGCATTGCTGCTTAGGGCCCGACCATGGGGCAGATGTGCTGGGCTGCAGGAGGCTTTGGGAAAAACTGTTGCCCCTTTCCCTGGGGCCAAGAGATAAATACACATCTCTTGGGGGGCAGGGACCCAGAAAGTTCTTATTGGCTTTAGTGGCTAACTGGACCTTCCTAATCTGTCAGGGCATCTCCATCTATAAAGGTAGGAAAGTATGTTAGTCATTAGATATAAAATAAACATGACTGTATGTGTGTGTATGTCTGTGTCTGTATGTGTGTATGAGAGAGAGAGAGAGAGAGAGAAAGAGACAGAGACAAAGAGACAGAGAGACAGAGACAGAGAGAGAAAGACAGAGACAGAGAGACAGAGACAAAGAGACAGAGATAGAAAGACAGAGATAGAGATAGTGGGAGGACAGGGAGGATGAGAGAGACTGGGACAGGGATGGAAGGAAGAAGGGAAGGAAAGACAGAGACTGGAGCTGTAAGCCTGCTTTGTCCCTGCCCCACCCTTCTCTGGTGATCAATGGCCCCCATACAATGAGGGGGTTCTTCTACTCTTGACTCTCAGGGGCCTCCTGTCAGCCCTGTGGGATACCATGCATGTGGCCATTGGGGCTTGGGCCCTGCCGAAAGTGGAGACAAGAACACTTAATGAAGAAACGGTTGGGAACTTCCCTCTCTGGTCCCAGAGTAGAGAGGGTAATGGAGTGCCAGAGGAAAGCCCTCTGTGGAATGGGGAGAGAGTGGCATCCAGACACAAGTGTTTCTAGTTGGGAAAGCCAAGAGGCCTGGGGAGAACCTGGAGCCTCCCTGCCACCTCCAAATGGGCCCTGGTGCCCAGGAATCATCTGAGGACTAAGAGGAAGGCTGGGGAACCTCCTTGCAGGCCACCCCTCCCCTCCCCACAGCCTCAGGGCAGACCAGGGCCCAAAGGTGCAGGGACTTATTGGGCAACAGCCACAATCCCAAAGTCCCCACTGCCTTTGAGGACATGGAAGGAGGCCAGCCAAGCAGAGTGGAGAGGCCTGGATTTAAGGATGCCAGAAGGCCTGCCCTTGAGTGGCTCTCTGAAAGTTGCCCCTTTCTTCTGTTCCAGCTGGCTGTGCCAGAAGGCTCAGAGGAAGAGAAGGGTGCTGCGGGTCAGGGCAAGGCCTACCCTTTGGGACATGGGTGTGCATGTGTGTGTGTAAGCAGACACGGACATGTTTTCAAAAGAAGTCTGGCTAAAAATATGTTGCAAAACAAAGGTTCTCCCTTGGGAGCAATTTAGCTGAGATGCAAATAAACAGTGTGGCAGTCCCCTGGAGAACTGCCTCCTGGGCTAGGTGAGCTAAGGTGGAGCACTTGCCTAGACCCTGACTACCCTCCATACCTTACCTTGTGGTGTGACTGCTTGGCTGTTGCTAGCCCTGCCTGCCTGCTCCATCTACAGAGGCAAGAGCTGCCCCATGATGGCCTCCATGATGACCTGGGAGATAGGCAGTGGGCTCCTCTACAGAGTTCTGTGAGGGGCCCTATTGTAGGGGCTGGCACCTCCTACCAAGCCTTCTGGCTAAAATCTGTCGCGTTCATCTACCCCCTTGATGCTATTTAGCCCAACCCATCTCCCAAGAAGCCTTGAACTTCCCCATGGGCTGGTGGGAGAGGGGAAGGACTCATTCATACTTGGCTGTGGGGGAGGGGGTTCTTCTGCAGTGTGTTGTTTATCATTCCTCTGTGAAACTTCCTCTGGGCTGCCCAGGCTTGGCATTAGAGGGGTACGTAGTTGGTTCCTGCACTGGATCAGGAGCTGCTAAAGGGAAGGGACTAACTTCCATTGCCTTCTGTATCTCTGGCATCTAGCAGAAATAAAGGGCTGGTAGGATGGCATCTTGACCAGAGTCCCTGGAGAGCAATTCTGGCCTCCTGAATTGAGGGCTGGACTTGCCTTGGTCTTACAAGCCTGGTCTTTAGGGCATGCCCACTGTGGAAAATACTCTGGCATAAAAGTAAGTCAATTTTGACCACTACTTTCTCTGGTGCACCTACTATGAGCTAGCACATTGCATGTAAAAAATAATTACACGAGTCCTGCTTGATGATATCCTCCTGAAAAAGGCAAACATTACAGGTGTAGCTAAAGAAGCCCCTTGTCCCACAGTGTTAAGCCCTGCTATAGAACTAACTCCCATGGTCAGCTTGGTGTGCATCCTTGCAAACTCTCACTGTCACATATGTGACAGCCGTCAGTGACCTCCTAGTGCTGCATAGATATGTGTACCTGTATGTGTCCTGGGCTTTGTGCATGGGATCTCATGTAAGCCACCCCACACAACCCACTGAGGGATGGGCCGGTTCCCTAGATGTGTGTGCAGGTGGGGAAAGCAGTAAACCTCTGGTCATGCCTGCCCCACTGGGCTGGCCCTTAAACTCTTGCCAGCCTTGGCAGATGCAGATGCTGAAACTCAATATTCTGGTTCTTCTGTCTCAGGTTGGCTTCCCAGGCAGAAGAAAGTGGGCATGTGGAAAGATGTGAGGTGCACAGAGGGGGCTTTGTTGTACCCAGCCTCTTGAAAAGGAGCTAATGATTTGCCACCCAAGGGTTTTTGCCCTCTTTCACTTCCCCAGCCATGGCCCCTCTTAGAGGCCAAGTCCAGGGAGCCCTGGAGAAGAAGGAATGGCTTCCTTTCCAACCTTGCTCCACCCCAGGAACCTCTTTTCTCTCCCAGGTTTCTTCCTGGCTTGTCATCTGGCAGGTAGGCTGGCCAGGACTGTGACCAAGGTGGGAGGCAGGTGCATGGGGGCAGTGAGCTGGCAGCTTTGAGTCCCCAGACACAAAGCCCTGAGTGATGCATGCTCCATGTAAGCGAGGGCTCCTCAGGGAGCTTGGGATGGGGAGGGGCTGGCTCCTGGGTCTGAGCAGACAAGCAGCTTCCACAGTCAGGCAGCCCAGCAACTAGCCCTCACCTGCTTACAGCCTGAGGTGTACGGGGCCCATAGTGAGAGGGTCACGCATCCAGCCAGCAGGCCCGACAGCTTCTCCAGTGGGTGGGTGCCACCCTGGGCCAGGGTCTTGAGCTTGCTGCAGCCATGGGCATGAGCTCCTCTGAGCCACTGTCAGTCTCCCCTGCTGGTGTCAGGCAGGGTGAGGCAGCTCTCTGAGAAGCTGCCAGCTGTGTGGGGGTTCAGGGACCCCAGTGGCCTGGGAACAGGAACACCAGGAGGTCACTGCTGGCTTCAGGCACTGATGAGCCCCCAGGGGCTTGTCTCTGATTGGAGGCTTCACAGAAGGGCCAATGGATGCTGACTGTGGTCAAGGGACACCCTGCCTCTGAAGTCATCTGATTGGTAAGGAAAGGGGCTGGCATTGGGTTGAGGCAGACACTGATCAAGGGCTGGCACCTTCTTGTAGCCAGAGCTGATGGCCTCCATGGAGTAGGAGCTGGAGCCCATGAAAGTGTGCAGGTCTTAGAGCCTGTGTTGACATGGGCTTTCATATGACTGGACTTTCCCAGCTGAGGGAAAGTGGCTGTGTGGGGAAACATTGTCTCTCGTCAAAGCAGCTGAATGAAATCCTGGGGCCTCTAGGAGTATGAAGACACAGAGTGCCATGTTAGGCTTGGCCCAAGGCAGCTAAGTCTTTGTTCTCTTCTAGGAGAGTGACTGGAGAAGACTTGGAGTACAGGGCCTGAGGGGCTGAGGGGCTGCTTGGCCAGGCAGGCTTTGGTAGGAGAGAAGGAAAAGCCTATGGACCTTACAACCCACCCCTACCTCCACTCTGCCTGGCCCAGGGCATTTCTGGGCATCCCAGACTCAAAGTCTGGGGGGTATGCCACCTGGAGCTCCATGGCTCTCTGCATATGAGAAGTAATGGAGGTAGGGGCAGGGGTTATGTAATGCTTCTCCCAGAAACCCTACTGGATTACAGTTTTTGCTTTCAGTCCTTCAAATGCACCCTGGCTTCTTCAGAAGAGCCTTGAGGGAGAGTGTCTACTGCAGGTCTCTCAGGCTTTGGGAGCCAGCCCCTCTGCCATTTGGGCAAAAGCATCTGCAATGAAGTTTTTAGAGCTTCTAGCTGAGGGAAGATTCCAGAGCCTGGCCTGGGGCAGAGACAGGCTCTCCATTTTGGTCCTTCAGCTGAGCTTGACCCCAGACCAGGAAGTGTCAGCTCCATCCAGGAAGTGTCAGCTCCATCCATGTTGGCCTGTGGCCGTAAGAGACAGCTAATGTTGGGGTGGCCTGGTCTCTAGATTTCCTGCCACTGTCCTGGCCCTGCTGTTGACAGAGCATGAGCAGAGTCCTTAGCATTACTTGTTAGGCGAGGCCTCCTGGGTGGTGGCTGCCTTCCCTAGAGGAAGTTGACACTGAGTGCTTAGACTGGGCACGTGTGCTTTGAGTTGAACCCCAACTGGCTGACAAGGTGTATACCTGGTTGGCCTTTGGATGCCATGG